GCTAGCCGGCCCAGGAAACTCGAAGAAAGTATCCAATTAGCCGACTCATCATCTATTAAAGCTACTCACTCTGGAACAACTGTCTTACCTATGAATGGAAATGATCACCATCACCGTACTCTACTTGTTCCAGCGCTTCAAGAACCGCTTCTCTCAGTTTCTTCAATCTGCGATGATGGTTTCATACTCGTGTTCAACAAATCCTCTTGCTCATTCTATCGAGCTGACGATGTATCCATCACCTCAGCACCGGTCAGCACTGGTTACCGAAGAGGCAACTTGTACTACTTGGCTGCTAAGGTAGATGAACCATGTTCAAATTTGGCTTTGGATAAATTTTCTGATTCCACTCTTCTTCACTGGCATCGAAAACTAGGTCATATAGGACTCAAATCGCTGAAGAAACTTCTATCAACATCCGGGATCAAGCCTGATATCATGAATGAGATAGATGTTCAAAGGTGTCCTGTGTGTGTCAAGTCCAAGATGGCAAGAAGCTCCTTTAAATCTCGCTCAGACCACAGATCCACGTCTGTAGGTGCTCTAATTCACTCCGATGTGTGTAGTTTTGAGGTGTCATCGCGAGAAGGATATAAATATTTTGTAACTTTCATCGACGATTACTCAAAGTTTACTATCATGTATCCCATGAAATCTAAGAGTGATGTCTTTTCTTGCTTCAAAGCTTTTCGATCCAAGTTTGAGCTACACCTATCCGCCTCCATCAAGAAACTGCGAACAGATAATGGAGGGGAGTATCTATCAAAGGAGTTTTCATCCTACTTAACGGACTGTGGCATTGAGCATTTTCCCGGTCCTCCTCATTCTCCTCAACTAAATGGCGTGTCTGAAAGGGCAAATCGCACTATCAACAATCACATCCGATGCTCCCTTCTCAGTTCAGGTCTTCCCAAAAGCTTTTGGGTTGATGCCTTACGCTTTCTTGCTCATTCTCTCAACTCTATCCCCTGTTTCACTCCTTTGGGTTTTAAGTCTCCTTGTTCTCTCGTCTCTACTTCCCCAGTTGACCTGTCCAAACTTCATGCTTTTGGTTGTGAGGTCTACTTTAAAGTCCCTGAAGCAAATCGTCTCAAACTCGATCCCAAAGCCAGGCGTGCTGTTCTTCTGTCATACCTTCCTGATGGAAATGGTTACAACTTATGGGACATCACCAATAAGAAGGTGGTCAAATCTAGAGATGTCATCTTTAATGATGATGTCTTTCCATCGCTCGAAAAATCTCCTCCCTCTCCGTCCTGTAATCCACAAGTAGAAATACCGTGGCCTTCATCTGAAAAGCATCCTCCGTCTCAGAGACATAGACGTCTGTCAACATCCATCCATAATCCATCTCGTAAACCACTCAGCCCATCCTCGTTCTCAGTCTTACCAAAGACTCCTCCTTGTCAAACTCAAAACACAGATCTTAATACCTCTACCATTTCTCCTCCTATTGTGTCTTCTTCCTTGTCTCCCTCTGTTGTGGTGCGCACTCCTTCAATTGACATACCTACTCGTACGAGGCCATCGCCACCAAACAGTGTAATCCCTACTAGGCGTCCATCTACTCCCCCACGAAGAAACCCCTCTCGCTCGAAGAAGATCTGCAATGTTACCTCACCACCTCAACTGTCTCCTGATCATGCTCCTCAACCATCCTCCTCTCCTCGAAATGAATCTCCGTCTCCGCAAGCCAAACCTCCATCATCTACGGTCCCAGGCCATTCAAAACCTCAACCACAAGAAGTCATCAAAGTGCTGAGTGAGGCTGCCCCATTACCACCGAGAAGGTCCATTCGCGCTCGCAACCAACCTCAACGACTTGGCAACTTTGTGAACCTAGCATCCTTGACTGAAGACGCATGCGATACACCGAAGACGTGGAAACAGCTACTGCGTTCGCCAAACAAAGACCGATGGCTCAAGGCAGCTGACACGGAGTACTCCTCACTAATTGGAATGGGTACGTGGCGTTTAGTTCCTCGTCCGGAAAAACGTAAAATCATCAAATCCAAATGGGTATTTAAGGTGAAACGTCGGGTCGATAATACCATCATCAAATTGAAAGCTCGTCTGGTGGCAATGGGGTATGCTCAAGTCGAAGGAATTGACTATACAGAAGTCTTTGCTCCGACCACTAAGTTGGAGACTCTCCGCCTAGCTCTCTCCCTCATGGCATCGAAGAGGTGGTCTGGACGACAAGTTGACATCAAGACAGCTTTTCTGAACGGGCATCTTGATGAACCCGTTTATATGTCTCAACCGCCAGGTTACGAAGATCCCAATAATCCGGATTGGGTTTGTGAAGTTATCCGATCAATCTACGGTTTGAAGCAATCTCCGAGGCAGTGGAATCGGGAGTTGCATGCTGTTCTCATCACGTTGGGTCTTCAACAATCATCCTATGACCCCACTCTCTACTTTCGTCTCAAGGACAAGAAACTGGTTGGAATGGTCACCGTTCACGTCGATGACCTTTCGGTTTTAGGTCCCGATGACTTTGTCAACTCCTTCATCACCGATCTCTCCTCTCGTTTCGAAATCTCATCAAACGAAGAACTTCATCATTTCTTATCTCTCGACATACGACGAGATGTGGATAAGAAACTGGTGTTTCTAAATCAAGCACATTACATCAAAGAGTTAGGTGAAAAGTTCTTGCCATCAACTCATGTCTCGATTCACACACCTACCGACTCCAATTTCAAAGATCTCATGCCTCGACGGGAAGATGAGCCAAAGTCGAGTGGCCACTACCAAAGTCTGATTGGCGCCCTTCTATGGGTGGCTCAATGCACAAGAGCCGACATTTCATTCGCTATCAGTCGACTATCACAGTTCCTGCGTGATCCTTCGGAGTCTCACTGGCTTGCAGCAGTACGAGTGTTAAATTATCTTCTAACAACATCTCATCTCAGGCTCACTCTCGGAGGTACACCAACTATCTCTGGTTACTCTGACTCGGACTGGGCCGAGGACAGGCACGATCGTAAATCAACATCTGGCTACACCTATCGTTGGGGCCAAGGAGCGGTCTCGTGGAAGTCTCGCAAGCAATCGACGGTCTCTCTCTCAAGTACAGAGGCCGAATATAAAGCGCTATCAGATTCAAGTCGTGAGGGTATCTGGCTAAAGAACCTATTGTCTGAACTCCACATCAATGCGCCGTCAGCTATCCCTCTTCATGTGGACAATGAAGGAGCGGAAGCACTGGCAAAGAACCCTCAGCATCATTCAAGAACAAAACATATACACACAAGGTATCACTATGTTAGAGAATGTGTTCAAAACGGGTCAATTCAAGTGAAGCATGTAGCTTCAAAGGACATGTTAGCTGATATGCTGACAAAACCTTTAGGACGTGTAATGCTACAGTCTCATCGAACATTATTTGGCATTGTGTGTTTTTCTTTCTTTCTCTTTTCTTATTTAACATTATGTTGATTTTTTTTCTTTTTCTCTCTTTCTTTCTTTATCTTAAATTTTTTTTTCTCTCTTTCCTCCTTCAAACATTATTGATGTACATGTTGTACGCAAGGGGGGCTCTTGGGATAGTCCTGCATGACTTTTAATTCTTTATGTAAAAGTCCTGTGAGACTAACCCATGATACGTAGAATCTAAGTGTGTGCTCAACAAACATATTACATCATGTGAAAACCGTTATGTAAAAGTTTCACTATATAAATCCTACTGGAGCAGTCAAGGAAAGGTGCTTCTTCTTCACCTTTCCTTTGTCTCTTTCTCTGACTGTTCCAGGTAGGATTTCTCTCTGTTTTCTGTTTCTCTGTTTTTTGTCTGATTTAGTCCGTGAAATTTACATACCTTTCCTTTGTCTCTTTCTCTGACTGTTCCAGAGCTCAAGATAGTTTGTTCAAGTACATAAAAGGTTGGGTTGCATGGAAACCAGGTGTGGGAAAAAAATTACGGGAGCCCCTTGAGGACCCCCTTTTTGAAAAAGGGGCTCCTGATTTATTTGAAGCCTTGGGTCCGACCCGATAGGGGGCTTCGGATCCTGTTCCGAGGGCTCTAAATAGTGGGATCCATATTAAATTGTCACTTCATAGATTGAATCACTGTTGAGCTATAACCCAAGCACCAGCCTGGCAAACCATTATGTATGTGATATCATATGTTTGTGTAACCCTTGATATAAGCATACATGCTTATAATGTGTCAAAAACTCATACTTGTTACCCAATATGCTTGTAAGATCTACCCCTCAGGCTTACAACTTGGCATTCTATAACATAACAACCATACCTTCATTTTGCCACATGCTATGATCCACTTGTCTGTAGTGTCCTGACTCCTCTGTGGGTAACAACAAAAAGTCCGCCCGGGCTTCAATTTTGGCGGGCTTTTCTCATTTCATTGTCTAGCTGGGCATAGTTGGCTGACTGCGTTTTCAGGCACATCAGAAAGTCAGTCCGGATATCCATTTTGACGGACTTTTGATGTGCTATAGTCCTGTTGGTCATGGTTGGCTGACTTCTCTTTCTGGCAAATGAAAAAGTCAGCCAAATCTCCATTTTGGCAGACTTTTGGCAATCCATTCTCTAGTTAGCTACAGTCTGACATATGCTTCATCAAAAACTCAGCCAGATTGCCATTTTGGCGGAGTTTTTTGGAATGCTTTATTGACTTGGTTACATCCTGCAATCTGCTTGAGGCTCATTAAAAACTCAGCCAAATTGCCATTTTGGCGGAGTTTACTGCAATCCGTTATCTACTTGTCTACAGGCTGCAATCCGCATCAGGCTCATTAAAAACTCCACAGTATGACCATTTTGGCGGAGTTTTTTGCAAACCATTATCTACTTGGCTACAGTCTGCAATCTGCTTGAGGCTCATTAAAAACTCCACCGGATTGCCATTTTGGCGGACTTTTGGCAATCAGTTATCCAATTGGCTACACTGTGCAATCTGCTTGAGGCTCATTCAAAACTCAGCCAGATTGGCATTTTGGCAGAGTTTTTGATTCCACATCACTGAAACTCCGCTATAGTCCTAGTGTGGGCGGAGTTTTTAGTTCCACTTGACTAAAACTCCGCCATAGCGTTCTTTTGCGCAGAGTTTGAATATTGGGCATCCCGGAACTATAGGCTCCGGGCTCCGGGCACGCCGGCGGGACGCCCTCCCCCTAAAAGGCGTCCCAGGCATCCCGGCCTCGAGGGCTTGGGGCTGGGGTCTGGTAGCTAGAAAATTGTTGTACTTTTTTTTCTCAAACCTTGATTACCATATAGTTGTATCCATCAGCTTTGGCCAATCCCAATGATATACTGAAGATCTCTGTGGCATGACTTGGGACTGAGTTGTAGCCTGAAAATAACTTTGCAATCTGCGGAGATGTCCACACCAAACCTTTTTTCCCGGTGCATTTACAGTACAACTAGGCCATACAGCCAAAAAAAATTGTTTGAATTTTTTTTTCAAACTTTGTTTATCCTACGGCTGAACCCTTTGCAGTTGTGCAATCAAAATGATGTACTGACCACACCTGTAGCATTCCAGGTGGCTACAATATAGCCCGAGAAACTAACTTTGCAATCTGCAAAGATTTTTGCACCGAACCTATTTTCCCAGTGCAATTACATTACAACAAGGCCATACGGCCAAAAAAAATGTTCAAATTGTTTTCCAAACTTTGTTTATCATACGGCTGTATTTGTCAGCTTTCTCCGATCCCGTTGATGTACTGACCATACTTGTAGCATTCCAGGTGGCTAAGATATAGCCCAAGAAACTAACTTCGCGATCTGCGGAGATTCTTGCACCAAACCTTTTTGTCCCGGTGCATTTACATTGCAACTAGACCATACAGCCAAAATAAAATGTTCAAAATTTTTTTCAAACTTTGTTTATCATACGGCTGTATTCGCCAGCTTTCTCCGATCCCGATGATATACCGAACATCTCTGTATGTAGCCTGTAAGTGCCTAGTCACCCATACCCCATAACCCATAATACATATGCACCCATGCACCTATGCACCTATGCACCCATGCACCCATGCACCTATGCCCTTATGTCCCTGCACCCAGGCACATGTGCACCTATGCACCTATGCACCTATGCACCCATGCACATGTGCACCTTTGCACCTACGCACATGTGCATGCACACCAAGGTGCATGCCCTTTCGAAGTGCATGCACCCTCAACCCCAGCCCGGGCCACCCTTGTAACCCTCAAAGTATATATAGTATTCTCATACTTTTACCATACTTTTGTCAATATTGTAAGTTTGTAGCTATCATATTGCATTCTCCTAACACTGCAAAAATAATGTATTTTTCCAAGGTGAAAAATGATTGACATTAATGCACAAAATGATTAATAATGCAGAATTAATGCAGAAAAATGCAGAATTAATGCAGAATTAATGCATTTTTAATCATTTTGTGAAATAAATGTAATCATTTTTCACCTGGGAAAAATACATTATATTTGCAGTGTAATGCCACAACGTATAACACTGCATTTTGTTTACCTCTTGGTCTTTATAACTGTAAAAATGACCCATGAAAATTGATCAAAGAACCTACTCTTGAACATTTCAATAAAAGCAAAAATTGTTTGATGAAGGAACCACCAGAGACAAAAAGATGCAGAAGGTAATCTATTTGCTGACACTATTTATTTTTGCATGAGCTAAGTTGATTCTGCTGAAGAAAAATGATGACAACAATATCCTGGATTGGAAGGTTAAATTCAATAAGCATTCTGCGATATTAAAGCCAAAACTTGACCTATTGAGATCACAAGTTGGAAAAACTTCAAAAAACATTTTACAGTATACCAATCAAAGATTGAATTTTCATCCTCTTCAACCACCTGTGTTACAGAAATTCATATGGCTACAGAAAAGCCAAACAATATTAATATTCCCAACTTAACCTCAATTGATAAGATAATTAGGGCAAGGAATTCAGCACACATACAGTGTGTTCTCAATGAATCCAAGATGAATCAACTGCACTTGGAATTACACCATCTTGATTGTTGTGAAGAAAATCCACTCAATCATTTGTATCAAATCACCCCTTTTGAATTAACTGTCAACCCAATCTCAATCATGATACCAAGGGATTCAGACTTGACCCAACAAACCTAATTTGGTTCTCTTTAGCATCAATTACAAACTCCCCAATATGCTCTTTTTCTTGCTTTTATAGATGTCTTCTTTGAGTAAGATCATGCACCAGATCATGCGCTAAATGGTTTTCACACCCTTGTTGTTGTTGATGAGGTTCAATAACAGTTTACACAATCCACCGTATGAAAATACTATATTTCTATGTTCCAAAAAGCAAAAGTTCATGGAAAATTGAAGGGAAAGGAAACCGAATAAAACCACTTCTTGTAAAACTGCAAGTTCAACATATATCAAAAGTCAATCCATTTTTGGATGATCCTTGGCTTAGAATCCGTCTCCTTAAATAGTTTCACCACTATAAAGCTCTGCCTTGACATGCCATTCATACCTGTTAATCTCATGTGCAAAAACACTGAAAAAACCAAGCCATTAAGGTGAGGAGCTCTTTAAAACCTCTTTAAAACAAAAAGCTTCAGTTTCAAGACCAATTGTAAATCAATTTCCAGAAATTTTTCAAGAATATTATTTGGGGGTCAACTTCTGATCTCCACATTGGAGGAAGTTGAATCAGATGTGGTCCTCAAGACTTACTCATGATCATAGAGATGAAGGTGAAATGGTATCAATTGTGATAATGAGATATGTGATGTAATAGACTTTGGTTTATCTGATTGGATCAATGATGATCAAAGGTCTTCAAAAGCTTGATGACCTTGTCTTGTTGATCTCATTTGGTCATGAAATCAATGCTGGTTGAAGTGGTGTATAGCTTGGCAAAGTGGTATAAGTTTGAAATTGTTGATATTGAATTTTGGATGGTATATTTTAGTTACAGATTGAATTAGGGAGGGAAAGGAATGTGGTGGATATCATATTTTGCAGTTGTAGGTCCAGTAGATGAGATTTTGGTTGTGTTCCATAGCTTTGATTGTGGTTAGTGCTGATTCAAATATTCTGTTGCAGATGTTGATACCAGTTCTGATGGATATGAAACAACTTGTGAGATTCAACAAGGTAAAGGAGTAAATTTAGTATGGCAAAACAATAGACGAGCCACTGATCCAGTGATGATAGATTTCTCATGGCCAGTTGTGGTCCAAGCGCCTTGTTTTCTGGGTAGTTTGCTTCAGTTCTTGTATGATGATTTGCTATGGGATATGATATTAATTGAGATGTCTGACTGCTGTTAGTGGGATGATGAGAATAATGAGAACAAATAGTGACTTGCAATTAAATGATTACATTGAAATCAATTTTTGAACAAATATCATACTTGAATTTCAATGATGATGATATTGGGAAAGTCCAAGTTAAAATGAAATCAATCTTGGGTAGCTGATCTACATTTGATCCTTGATCTGGAAATGCCAAATTATATTGAAAGGACAGATGACTTAAACATTTTTCCTCAATCTCTCAATCCAACACTTGGTACTTTCAAATTATTGAAGGAACAAACAAATTACACCAGATATAATAATTGTACCTGAGAACCCAATTCAATGTAATTAAGTGGTGGGGACTGTTGAATTTTTGGATCAAGGACATCAGTCAATGATGGCTTGATTTACTGGATATATCCAAGTGATTGTGAAGGAGATTTGTGGATTAAGATATTGATAAACAGCATTTGTGTGGTTTTGGATCAATCTTCTTGATTGAAGATAGGTGTACAAATCAAGATTAAATTTGATATTTAAGAGGTTCTTGCCAATTCTCAGCTTTGGGATCTTTTTGAATCACAAGGGTGAAGAGAAATGATGTACCAGTGACCACAGCAATGCTTGCTACTGTTGTGCTAATTGTTTCATTTGTACTTATTACTTCTAAGCTCGTTGCAGTTGATTGCAATGATGGTAACTTGCAAAGAATTTCATAAAGGCAAGCCAATAATCTTTTTAAAACAATTCTTTTGCATTGTCTTTGAATTTATTAGGTGCTTGAATTGCAGATGATGAAAAGAGCTGATAGAAACACATCTCACCTGATTGGTTGTGGATTTCAGGTGCAGCAAGACCAAACCTCGTCATGTGGGCTGTACTTGCAACTGGCGATGTCGAATGTATCAAGCTTAGGCCAAAATTCATCTTGAATTGAACCTTGTAAGCCTGAGGTCGGGATAGCCTGTTGTTGCCTAAAAAGAGCCGCAACAGGTTCTTTGAATGTTTCAAAGCTCTTGAGAATTGACTGATCAGAGACTATGTTGAAAGTTCCAAATTGGTGAGTCTAGATAATTTGAATGGAGTTGTAGGATCTGGACCAGATTTCAGGTGTTCAGGAACCTTGACCGATATAAATATCATTAAACTTGATACAAATTTTTTGATGAAACCGTGTAAACCTGAGACTGAGACTGAATCACAATCTATCAATGATAATGGTATTCAATTGCGAGACGATGATCTTGATCAGGAGTATTGGAAGTCTCTTGCATCCATTTCTTCCAACGTTTTGGTATGCATTGAATGTTTGGAACCAGATCTACATCAAGATTGATGAGATTCAGAGAACACGTGAAGATTTCAAGTAAAAGGCCCCATCGTGACTTGGGACCCCACTGTGAATTCCAAGATTGATTGTAGCAACATTCATTTGCTTGTGATAGTTCTTTTTGCTCCTCTGAAGCAGATCTGGGTCTGAGACTCCACTGGAGTTGCCGGACATGATCAGATTGTTTTTTCGTGGTTTCTTCATTTGTAGATTTTGATTAATCCACTGTAGGACCTTTGAAATTTAAACCCTGAAATGGATATCAAAATCATTACATACTGAATCGTGATGATACAATGAGAGTGATAGAAGTAAAGTACCTCCAAAAGATGACGTGTGCATATTCAATAGATAGAACAATTAGTCAAAGCCGTAATTGAATATTGTTTGATGAGTTACCTTTGGAGGTTCAAAGATGTGTATTATTAATATTGCATATCCAAGTGCTTTCTGATGTAGAATCAGAATCACCAAGAATTTTCAGCTTGATTGTCGAGGAAAGTGGATAGAATGGCAAAATGATTCCACAAATTTACTGACCGTCGTTTTGTTTCCGAAATTGTTGGGGGCCTCAGATTTCCTCTTCTTCATCGTTAATTTGATCATAGTTACCAATTGATTTGGGTAAAAGTGAAGTTTTTGCATCTTTCAACAATCAGCTAAGTTCCAAGGCTTGTCTTAAAGCAGATTGGGCTAGAAAGTTGATATCAATCTTGTCTTATTTTCCATTGTATCCATTTGATAGTTGATTCAAATTCAATGTAGATGGTGAGAAGAGAGTTAGAGACGTTGGATGTGAAATCAGCATCCAAGTACAAACAGAAAGTTATTGTCAAAATTAAATCCAAAACTTTGGCTGTTCAAAACTACCAAATTTTCAAGCAGGGCAAGGAGTTTTTTTAGGTTTTGTTCAAATTGATAGTTCTCCATTAATATGTATATGATGTACTCATGAGAGATTACTTATGAATAAAAAAGAATGTAATATTGATTGATCTATCCATTTTGTAAACCAATCAAGAAACAAAAATGCTATGAACAAAACAATTTTTTTAACAAAAATATGAAAAACAAATCCTTAACAACATTCTTGAGTTGGTGGCGAAGAAGAAGAAGAAGAACCTTCATTTAAATTCCAATTTCCTCTCACTCTCACAATTCGCTGTTTCTTCTTCTTCTTCATTTTCCAATAAAGTTGTACAATTCAACTTTTTTCAAAGTTCTCTCGTATATTTGGATTAACAGGCTCAAGCACAAGGATTCATCTTTGTTGTGAAAGTTTAATACAAGGGGGTTCCTTTGGGCTTGCATAGGTTGAGGTAACAAGAAACAAAAGAAAACAAGACAACAAGATAGCAGACCAGCAATAAAAAGTAAACAAATTGGATGTGTATGGTGTGAAAGGAAAACAAGATGAGATAAAGAGTAATTGGACATGTATGATGTGAAGAAATAAAAGAAAACAAGACAAGATAAACAGAAAACAAATCAACTTGACATTGAAAATCATACACAAGACATCACTACTTTCTTGCTCCGGCTTGCTTCCTACTATACTCCTCCTGTGATGAAGAGTATCTAGGTGATATTGCCGCAAAATCCTTATCGTTTCTTGGGACATAAAAATCAGACATCTGGTCTGCTAATTTTTTGTTCACTTGAATCAAAGAGCCAATTTGAGTGACTTTAGCAGTTTTAGGATTGGTGATAGTACCATCCACAGTGACATTTTACTAGGCACTGGCAGGCCAGTGAGTAACGTCACCTCAATTTGATTTCAAAACACTCTCAAAACAATACAGAAACTATATTAAAATGATTTCAAAACAATTACAAGCCAATATCAATGGTTGGCCTGGAAGAACAGCCAAACATCCTTCCAGACTCAACTCAAATAAACTTTAGCTGCATATCCACACATGAATTTGTCGGAACCATTGGAAGGTTTGAGTAATTGTGAGATACCACTCAACTTCCATTACCAAATATCCTTCTCAGACCCTTCCAAAAGCACCTGCAAAGCAGATATTCAGAGCTCTTGGGCTCATTGACCAACTTGAGAGTTTCCTGAACCATAAATCAGTAATGATCTCATGAGTAAATTGGTGTTGAGTGTTGCAGAAGTATCCGTGAACAAACCTGCTCAACTCACTCTCATGCTGAGAATAGTTAATCTGTTGGTTAAAAAGCTTTTTTATTTCATTTTCTTCTTTTGAACAAACTGTTTTTTTCAAAATTTGGATCAATTGATTTCAACATGTTTTTGAGACTGAGCAGAAGGTCTCAAGGCTTTGATTAAAAAATTGAAGACGATTAAGCTTAATCTGGAATTTCAAGCTGAGCTTTGCAATTTCAAAAACATAAGCTGAATGAAACATTATGAGCTGTGAAGTACTGTGCTTTTCAAATACCCTCCGGATGAAGGTTCATGCCTGGTGGGCAGTTGTTTTGATTAAAGGTGGCTTGGCCAGTGCAGTTCAAGTGCTGCCGATGGCTGATTTTTTATGATCAAATGTGATCAACATTTCAACCTTTGGGACAAGGCATTTATGCTGCCTTTTCTGACTCTTTGTGATGCACAAAACAAGTATGCCATGATGCAACTGCATCAACACTTTGATATCCTGTGCTTATATTGATTTGGGAGCACTTTGAAAGTACTAAACAAATGTATACTGCATCAGCCACCATGACTAATTGCAGAGCTCAAAAGGAACATTATCAACCACACAAACATTCTATTGTGCTTCTTTTTCAGGGATGGCAAAGCTAAGGTTGACATTTTCATTTCATCTTAAATTTCATTTTCAAAAACGTCTTGAGACATTTGGCCCAAGCTCATTGACATTTTGGAAAGGATTGATAAATTCACCACTTTTCAAAGAAACAGTTGGTTTAAAGTGAAAAAAAAGATCAAACAACCCTTGGGCCCTGTTGTAGATTTTTTTCAGAGCAACTATTATACAACAACAGTAAACAGTGTATTTTGAAATAGGAATATTAATTTATTATAATAGCTCAGAAATAGCCCGCAATGCATCATCAAGACATGCAGCATTGTTTGTGATCCCCAAGCTCAATTTTTCCAGGCTACCACATTGCCCCAAGAACTCACTATCATAACAGTTTTCAGGCAGATTACCACATACTCTGGCCAAAGGATTGATCTTGTTGCCCACCTCACGTCGAGTATCAAACCTCCTAGCTGCTAGAGTTCTCAACTTCACATTGGCTTGATGATTATACGAAAGCTCATCAATCTTATGAAGCCACTCTCCATACCTGACGCTGTGCCACTCTGGTCGGATTGAGCGTTGCTGACCATGAGCATCATCCTCTGTATCTGAACAACAGGTTGCACCAGGAAGGAGGTCAATGAAATCCTTGAGGTATTCATTGATGGTAGCTTGACGGTATTCACGCAGCTGTGAAATGTTTCAGTACTTTTTTGGAAACTCGCCAAGTGGTCAAAAGAATCAAATACTTACATCTCGTCGCTTCCTACTCCGCTCCCGCTGTGCAATCTTCTCTGGTGTGTCAAACTCATTCTTCCAATCTTCAATCCGCCCAATGACCCATCGAGTGACAATACCAATAAAAATAACTTCCGTCTCCCATCCATTTGAAACGCAGAAGCCCTTCTGGCAAACATCCAATGCTTTACCGTAAAGAATATCATGACTTGATTCCAAGCAGAGTCTTCACCTTCCTGAGCTTCCCAATCAAAAGTAAAAGGTCCTTCAATTTGTTTGTTGACCATATCAATGTGAAGAAGGGCCTTGAAAACACTCCAGTCCAAAGGATTAGGGTAAGTTGCAGAGCTGTAGTCAACGAAGACTGAGTGGTCGTTGATGATGTCTTGCTCAGTTAGAGGTGGAAGTGACATTATGTGGTTATTGGTTGGGGGGTCAGGAAAATGTCGATGATCCTTGGTGTGGCCCAGGAGGAATCGTGTAAACTCTGCAAAAGATTTGCAGGTTGGGGCATTGGAATTTGGTAGGAATTTGTAATAAGCACAATTTTTTGGCTTTTCGACTTTTGGGTTTACCACCATTGGGCCAATCAGGCGCAGCCTTTTCTGACGTGGATGCTGGGTAGAATATAACCGTGTCAATTTGAGTGGGTAAGGAAATGCAGGGAGGCATAATCATACCCATGGTTCAATTTCAGCTGTCACAATTGTGGAGCTAAAGTGAGCAAAACTCTGGTGGGATGAGTAAATTCCAAAGTATGTTGATAATGGGTTTGGCGGAATGCGGGAGAGCTTGAAAGTTCAAGCTATGTGAACTGGGGTCAAGTTCACTCAGGGTAACCTGCTCAATTGCAGAAACTTCATACATGGGTGTCACACATTGTGAAACGTGTGTGTCACATGTAGCAAAGTTGGTCATTTGTCACATGTATTTGATGTATGTATCCTGTGGTGATTTACATGTGTGTTGACATGAAATTGGATCACATTTTGGGAATTGGAACTGAGATGAAAATTGTAGAGAAACACTATTCTAATTTTTATAAGTAAAAAAAATAGCCACACACGTGACATGAGTGTAAAAAGAAATCAGGAGGAAGAAATTGTCATTGCATTGCCTTTCCCCAGCTTTTGTTTCAAAATGTCAATAGCAGACTGGAGATCAACTTGGGTGTTGGACAACTCCAGACTATCAATCGTAATCGCATCAATCCCTTTGGCAAGTATTTCTGGCTTGATGAGGCACTTGGGAAGAGTCTTAGGAGGAAGCTGATCCTCAGGATCAGGCACATTTGGTGAATATGGTCCTCTAGATTGGAAAAATTCCATCAACTTGTCATTTTGTTTTTTGGTGCCCTCCCAGTTGGGAGCTGCTTTATCAGCCAGTTGAATCAATTCATCAAGCTGAGGTGTCCGCCAGTTGAGCTTGATTTTCCTAAACTTGCCAGGCTTCTCTGGGTCCATTTCGGTATCAGAATGAACCTCTTGAGACTTGAGGAGGACTTTGATTGGGCCAGAGAAGTTACGAAAGTAGGGCTCAACTGCCGCAGCCCGTTTATCACACAGCTGACAAATGCACCTGTCAGTATGAGTCCCTGTGCAAAGGGGGAATAGTTGAGCATGTTACCTTTTTCTTGATGTTTTTCAAAGCTAGTTTCTCCCTCTCAGTATGTTTTTTCATAACCAGTTTTTCACCTCCTCCTGGTGTGGACACCAACTTCTTTTCCTTCTCTTCATCTCGAAAAACTCTGCGCTTATTGATAATCCAGCGAGAAAGGATGTCCCTTGCTTCCAGGGGAACATCGAGACCAGCGTCAATTGGAAATCCAGCAGATACAGCTCAAGCATTATAAATATCTAACCAGCTAGTAACTAAGGTGTCCAACATAGCCATGTTCCAAGGAGTTGCAGTTGGACTGGTCCATTGGAAAGTGATAGAGGAAAAGCCACATTGTTGAAATTTGCCTTCAGCGTTGGATAAGCAAGTAGCATCGTAAGTGGTGACAGAGGCAGTGGCGTGGGCTACTCAAGAAACAAATTTGGGAGGTGGATTGGTTTTGATGAACATGAGAACAGCTTCCTTTGACAATTTGATTCACATCTCCAATTCAGTCGCAGAGGGGTTCTTAGCAAAGATCTCATCCATCTTTGCCTGAATATTGACATCTAAATACTGAGTTTGTTTGGCAGCATATGAAGCCCAGTGTTCAACCTCCTCAGCAGTCGGTTCAGCAGGAAGATGACGTTGAAGTAGAGCAGCAGCAGTGATCTTAGGAGAGGAGCGATGGCTGGCTTGTTGAGGAAGTCCCATTAAGGCCCTAGCCCACTCTTGTACAGCAGAGGTAAGGCCTACTAGATTGATGCTGTCCGTGGGCTCTTTCCTAGCACGTTGTTTGTCAGCTTCAAGTTTCCGCTGTTGCTGTCTCTTCTGGGCCTCCCGCTCCTTGGCAATCTGAAGTGCAACACGTTGCTCAAAAGTAAGTCCAGGTTCCTCCTCTACATGATCTGAATAAAGGGTTATGTGAGATGTCAGTTCAATGTTGGAATAACAAAACCACATGAAGACATGCATGGACTTACCATCTATTTGATCCATACGGAATGCGAGAGGTGTCAAGGTGACAATGCAAAAATCAAAAAACGAAAATCACAATCCCCGGGTGCAAAATTCAAAAATCAAAGACAAAACTACAGAAAATACTCAAATACAGGGCAAAAACCCCTGTACCGGAGTAAAAGTCATGGCAGAAACCCCTTTCAGACCAGGTTACGGCCCAAATTTCAGTAGATTTACAACTTGAAACTCAACATTTGTCACCCCATTGTCGCAAAGTACCAGGAAACCACAAAAGAGGACATCAAAATTCAAAAATCACAAAATCAAAAAATCAAAAGTCGAAAATCAAAAAACAAATGTCGATAATCAAAAAACGACAATTAACAAACCATAAACAAAGACCCCAAAAATGAAAACTTCACATTAGATGATGAAAAGTGTACCTCTCTACCTCTACCTCTCAACCAATCACACAACCCACACACCATCACCAATCATCTTAGTCATTCCTCCAACTTTTGTCATAGTCTCCACCCATCCACTTGTTCAACCAAACCTACACTACACTGAACCTCTTTGATTGTCTCCACTCTTCTTCATCCTTATTTGATTGTCTTCACTCTTCTACACTACACTGAACCTCTTTGATCGTCTCCACTCTTCTTCATCCTTATTTGATCGTCTTCACTCTTCTACACTACACTGAACCTCTTTGATCGTCTCCACTCTTCTTCATCCTTCTTTGATTGTCTTCAATCTTCTTTGATATTCTTGGATCGGCTTCACCCTTCTTCAATATTCTTGTATCAGCTTCATTGTTCCCTAGTATTCTTCAATTCTCTTCAATCTTCTTCAATCTTCTTGAATCGGTTTCAATCTTCTTCAATCTTCTTCAATCTTCTTGAATCAGTTTCAATCTTCTTCAATCTTCTTCAATCTTCTTTGATCGACTTCAATCTTCTCCGATCGACTTCAATCTTCTTTGATCGACCTCAATCTTCTTCAATCAGCTTCTTCTTTGACTTTGGTTTCTCTCGGATACTCATATTTCACTATCATGAACCGACCTACTCGGCCCTTATGTCAAAGTACTCTCCGTCAAGGCGAGCACAAAATATGTGGACCCTGCCTTGAACACATCAATGCGGACCAAAACAAAAAGGTTCCTTCTCCCCCCCAGCAGGCACCCACCCAAGCTTCTCAACCCCGCCCTGCCAATCTCAAGGTCATCAATGCCAAAGCAGCTGTTGCAGCCCGTACCTCGACTTCCACTGGTACTCATGTCCACCAACTTCAAAGCGACAAGTCAAAGCGAGCTGCTGCCAAGAAACAAGCTAGCAGCAACCGCATGTTTAATGGTCACCCAGCAGCACCTAAACCTCCACCTTTCACTACTCACACTGGCCGAGTATGCTCTGTAGGATGGATGGTGATATACGAGGCAGGCTCTTTCGCTCATGGTCTACTTTGGGGAACTTTCACTGTGGATAGGTCATCGTTGACACTCTTGGACGACACTAAGGAAGGCATCTTCAACCTGTGGGACCACTCTGTTGACTCTCCTCTTTACCCTCAGGCACCCAAAGTTTACAACTCTGAGTATTTCAACCTGGCCAAAACCGGCTGTGGCCGGAAATCACCTGTGGTCTTACATAACAATGAAGTTTTTGCCAGATATCTTGACGACACTAAAGGAGAACCTAGCCTCGAGCTAATTTTTCTGGCTGACAAATATGTCAAAAATAATCCTTGGCTTCGACCTTCCACCAGTAAGCCGGTACAACCTCAACGACAAGCTAAAAGAAAGGCATCTCAACATTTGACTTATGAGGAGATGTTATTAGATGATGGAGATGAAGAAGCGAATTATGGTGATAGTGATAGTGATAGTGATGGTGATCTGCCTTTGAGTGTCGAAATATTCCAGCCAAGCAAGAAAGCCAGGTGTACACCTTCAACTTCAACAAAAGTCACCTCACCACGAGTCACTCAAAAGAAGGCTTCTAATTTTAAAACCAAGAATAGTACATACACACTCCCGCCACCCATCACCCCACGAAAATCTCCCCACCGTGCTCAGAGTGATGTGGCTCCTGTAGCTATGACTCATGTGATACCACCTCACCAGACAGGTAAGCTCACCACTCTTGTTCACTACTCATTTTTGGTCTGGCTGACATGCCCTCCTTAGTACCGGCCTTTGATTTCAGAGAGGCTATTGATATCTCCGTATTTGGACGAAAGCTTCCCATGGCTTGCCCTGTTCCACCTGCTGAGACTACAGACGGTTTCACCGTAGGGAAAAAATGCATTTTGACAGGAAATGCAGAAGGTAAACCTGAATGGGTGGTAACACCGTATCATTTCAAAGTTGATGAAAGTGTGGTGATTGGAAAAGGTTCTTTCAGGACATGTTACAATGCCTTTGGAAGAACACCTGGTGGAGAGGTCACTCCAATGGTTGCCAAGAAGCGGAGGGAGCTGCCTCCCAATATGACTCATCTGGCTGTCCATAAAGAATCCGGTGGAGTGTATGCTGCTGTTTCCATGGTGATTGAAAAGTTTAAGAAAGCCGCTTTGGGACTGAATGAAATTCAACTTTTCCCTGCAACGGTTGAAGCTATCCAAAACATTCGTGTGAGTCAAATATATGGATCTCATTTTATTCAAGCTTTCTCGATAACATGTTTTTATTTTCCAGATGGTTCAAAACTTTCCGGTCTATGCAGGAAGCAGTGCTACGACAGAATGTGCTTATTTCTTTGAAGAAGTACTTGATGTTACACAATACCGCAAGTATACCAGCAATCACAACTTTGAACTCCGGCCTTCAGACAGTCCTTTAGTCAATGAAGTAATGCAAGCTCTCAGTCATTGGTCTCATAAACACTATGGGGGAAGAAGAATGGTTGCAGATCTTCAGGGGGTAGGTTTGGTATTGACAGACCCTTTGATTGTGGATACGAGCAAGTAAGTACTTTTCTGCTTGCATTCCAACATTTTGCCTGACAGTTTGTTTTGGCCCCAGTATGGCTTGGTGCGATGGAAATACTGGAAGGAAAGGCTTGGAGAACTTCTCTACCCAGCACAAATGCAACAAGATATGCAAGCACCTGGGGTTGCTACTGCCAAAGGTAGCAAAATTAAGTCTACGGGAGGAGATGGAGCTGTTGTATGGAGGTAAGTCTGGGGAACAGACTCATATTCCAGCAAGAGATTAGCACAAGGCGGAAATTCAGGAGTAAATTCTTTCCTTTCAATCTGTATTCCAAAATTTGTTGCTCTTAAAAAATTCAAAAATTTACAAAAACCCTTTGCTCACAAAATTTTCATCTTAAAAACAAAAAAAAATGTATATATCATTTTAAAAATCTGAGTGCTGAACCTTTTGTTTCCTTATAAGAAGTAATCTTATTCTGAAGATGGTCCAAATTGGCCCGTTTCCGTTGCATCTGCTTATCGTAGGTCTCTGCAAGGCCGCTGTGCAATTTTTCCCAGCTCTCATCATCCAAACCAACCCGCTGTTCCATAATCTCCTTCATGGCTGCCACCACAGTGGTACTGATCTGAGTGCTACAAGCATAAGCAAGTACATGGTCTACCGCCCCTTTACTCTTTCCAATCCCTTTTCTTGCCTTGGTTTTTTCCCTTGTTACAGCACCCTGCAAGTATGTTGTCTTTTTTTTCTCTCCTTCAGAAAATAAAAAATGTTCCTTGTTGTGGCGAACATCTGTTGCCCACAGTAATTCTACCACATCAGCTGCATTGATGTCTACAATAAACTTGAAATAGTGACTGATGTGAATTACAAACTTGGCACCAACTTGGAGATGCTTCTTATCAATGCGGTGTCCAGTCTTCTTCTCTAGTTCAATTTCTTCCTTCCTCTCGGCCAAAAGTTCGAGTCTTCTTGCCGGAGTAATAATTTCAGCTGTAATAAATTACATATGTCAGCAGATTGGTCATAAGGCTGTGAATATTAAATACTCAACATGTGTTCGCATCAATTAAGCAGAAGAAACCAGAAGCAAATCCAGTGGCATCAAAGTCACAATGAACTCCGTTGCGGAATCCTCCAGTGGTAGCAATCACATTGGATCCCACAAAAGCCTTGTCCCCAAAGACTTGGGCATTGGGTAATTTCTCCCACTCTTTGCTACCAGGCACTGGCTCTTTTGATCCCCACAACGGGGCATCAGTGTCTTCGGCCAGCTTCTTGTTGGAATCATACACAAATAGAGATAATGAACATGTCCTTTCAGCATGAAAGTCCACTACCCAAGGAAGTTCATCTTGGCGGGCTTCGTCCTCGTCTAGTTTGGCTGGGTCCTCGCTGGTAGATGAATTTTGGGCATAGGTTGCTGGTGTTAAGACATTGAACAAATTAAGTTTCTGAAATTTCCTCCTGTGGAAAGGTGAAGATAAACAAACCAATAACTGTTCCTCTTTGATATTGTCCAGCACGCTTAGATGATCTGTGACCAAATGCTTTCATAGTACCTTGCCGCTCGTGGGGCGGTAGCATCTTGACTGCATGATTTTCCTTGATCACTCCCCGTGCTTCAGAATGTTGATGCATGATCTTGATAGCCCTTCGAAAGTCTTTCCAAAGTTGCACTTGGGCAGGGTCAATGCTGGCGGGGTCCTGCAGCAAGAAACGTCAGCCATGTGGAAACAACAGAAAGTTTGAGGGAGTTGACCTCTTTGTTGAACCTAGCAACACATATAAGCTTATTTCCAGCCAGATTCACAAG